TCACACACACACACACACACACACACACACACACACACACACACACACACACACACACACACACAAATCAATAATTCAGCTAAAGAGAAGCACATGCTACGCCCCACTGCACTAATCAATAGAAAGCCAAATGTTATCTTTTCATCTCATTCTTTGACTTTCACATTCTAATCGGGGCTGACTAGCTCATGCTGGACAGCATCAGAGAACTCCATTACATTTGAATATAATACAGACATACAGAGGATAAAAGGACCCCCAATTCAAAATGGGCCTCAGATTTTCTAGACAATCCTGGCTCCTTTTTTAACAAAAGGGTCCTTAGCTGTAACAGAGTGCAGATGTTCTATACATTTTCTATGCATAGAATCCCAAATATGTGTCATAAAATGGAGGCGAGAAAAGGTGGATGGCAACATTTGAGCATGAATTACGCCCCACTCCCCCTCCCTATCCAAGATATTTATGCCCCCCTGCTCACATCCCTTGGGAGAATGAGGCCATACCTTGGGAATGCAGCAATGAAGATGAAGAGAAAGACCTGTGTGATTTGAGACTGATGACTAAATCGGAGCGGTGGTGTACGTGTGAAGCAAAAGGGGGGACCTGCAGTGAGTTTATGTTTATGTGTGTGTGTGTGTGTGTGTGTGTGTGTGTGTGCGTGCGTGCGTGCGTGAGTGTGTGCACATGCGAGGCCAAAGTGACTACCGTGTTGTATTGTCGACTGTCGGACTGAAGCTGCCAGCCATGGCCCTTCTCCCCTCTCTGTAATCGAGCTATCAATGACCATTAATGAGAGTGTGAGATAGCCCTCTACAGCCCTCTGGGTTACATTGCCCAACACTCTGGCCTCTCTCCCCACCTCCCTTTTCCTCAATGACCCTGTCTATTGCCCAATAACATGCACCTACGAGGCCATCGGCTCACTAACTAAACACGCATTTGAATGTCGGCTTCTGATTAATAAACAGAATGATATGCTCTCCCCGCCTCACCACGCCCCCACTGTGGTTCTCGTTTGCATGACACAGGACCCTAGCGGCTGGCCCAAGGATACCTTAATCGCTGACAGTGGCAAGATCGGATCTGCGCTGACCTTGGCAGTGAACTGCAGCAGAGGCGGAGGAGGCAGGGGGCCCTGTTGCAACAGAGCGGGCTGGCTGAGAGCGAGGGGAGGGAGGAAGAGGGGGGGAAAGAAATGGAAGGGAGGGAGGGGAATGCCCTGATTGAGAGGCCTTCGAGATGAGCAACTCTGAGATATTAGAAGGGGGAAGGGGGATGATGGAAGGAGTAGTGGAGGGGTGGGTGGAAGGTAGAGGGAAGCCATATGGCAGCAGCACAAATGTATTAAACTATAAATCAGGGTGAGAGCGAGTGGACTGCCAGGTGGGGCTGCAGGCAGGTCGTCGCCGCTGGAAACGCACTGCTTCACCATCCAGCTCCACATGAGAGAGCACGAAAACATCTCTCCAGTATACTTCACTGTCCTTTTATCACTTTTATTTATTCATTCATTGCATTAACTCCTTTTCTTTATGCCTGATGCCCTTTGTATTGACACAGTGGATTTGCTACAATTTAGCGTTCATTTCTAGGGCTGGGTGTTTACAAATGTTCCACACTAATGCCAATAGAACAGCTATTTGCTTAATTAATTGTATTTGTTCAATGTTTCAGGTTTGAAAAAACGAGTAAGATGTCGTTCTCTTAATAAGATAAAGAAATATTTTGGTTTATGTCAAATAAATATATAATTGAATGCCAATTTCCAAACTTGACACGTTTTGAAATTGGTGCTAAGGAAATATTTGGTTCCCTACTCTATTGAAGTTTGTTAAGCTGCCCTATAGTCCGCTATGAATGCAATGGGAAATTGTAATATCACAATATAAAAAAGGGATTTGAGACATAACTATTGCACAAGTCAAGTTCAAGTGCACACCTTTAGCATCCGATAATGGTCAGAAATGAGTGTTACACATGTGGTAGAAAAACAAATGGAGTAAACCCCAAAAGGCTTCCATTTTAATCCCTTGATGATGTCTGGGTAGTGTGCCCAGCCAGTGTCCTGGCAGCCGTCGGGGCCCAGCCTGGGCTTCCATCCCAGAGGCACTGATGCATACTACAGCTAGAGCAAACACGGGCAGCCTCCTTCATGCCTGCTCTCCGTCAGAACATAACGACCATCACCGTAAAAAAAGAAGGGTTCATAACCTGTATGTCCCTCTTTGTGAAGCACTACAATAAGCCATTTGTGCTGGTTAGTGAATAAGCAGCATCATAATTAAACGTTGTATTCGCCTCAATCAGAAAAGTGGCATTGAAGCACTCAAACAAAGGCCTACATTCAGCTTTCAAATACTTCATTAGGGAATTAAATGTGGGTCCCGATTCTCTCATCTGTTTAAAAAATAGCTGCTGTCAGTTATTTATAAATAACAAAAGCCTCTGAATCTTTGATATGTTATTTAACACATCACACTTGATGCCATTGCACTGTATCACATCAAGATCTCATCAGTTTGCAGGCGAGGGATGGATGGATGTTACTGGACAGCTCCCAGTAACGGTCTGGTACGCTGGACTAACTCAGGCCTTGATCCCTGATCCTGCACTCAGAGAGACACAAGGATGCACACACCATACACACACCACACACACACACACACACACACACACACCCACCCACACGCTGACATAGACATCCAAACTCCCAACGAGGTACCTGCCATCTGAAACCATCACAGCCAAGGCCGGCTATCCATCAAATCCCATCTCCACTCAGGGTTGAGAGGGGGATGAAGAGAGGGCGGTGGAAGAGAGGAGGTGGGGGAGAGAGGGAGGGAGGGAGGCAGGACACAGAAGTGTAGGAGTAGATGCTTGAGGAATGCAAGAAGAGGAGAAGAACCGTACCTTGGTCTGGAGATAGTGGGGATAGTAGTAGGTGTACTGAGGGTACATTGGCTGCTGCTCCAATCGCTTGCCCATGTAGCTGGAATCCTTAGCACTGAGGCAGGGAATGGTGACACGGGGGCGGAAGCTGCCAAGTAGCTAGCAATGGGATAGAGGCAGCGGAGGGGCAGTGCGATTCTTTTCTGTGTCGCTAGCCGGTCCTCCGGGGAGAAGACAGGGTCTGCGTGGCGGACAGCAGCTGGGAGAGGGTCTGCCTCTGATTGGGGGGGGGAGCTCTGTGCCTCACCGGTCCTGAGCCTCAGTGTCTGGGAGATGCTCACTCAGTCTCTTACTGCCCGATCAATGGAAATATTTCCACAAGTGCTAGAACCAAGAGCGCTGTGTCTGTCAGTGGCTGGTATCGGATGGTAACGCGCGATAAGGGTGAGGAAGTGGAGTGGAGAGAAGGGGTGCAGGTGGCAGTAGCTCTGGCAGTCCTGTGAATGTTGGAAAATGGGAGAAGGAAGAAGAGGAGGAGAGGAGGAGGAAAGGGATGGCAAGGAAAACGGGAAAGGACGTATAGGTTCACTTCTCTATTTGAGCTGTTTCACTCCAGTCTTTTGCCTGGGCTTTAATCTGCCTCTCTCTCACTGCCCCTCTCTCTCTCTGTGTCCCTCTAACATACACAAAGTATCTCTCTCTCTTTCTCTGTGGTCTGATCCGATGGTGGCTGCGTGCTGTCCTGTTTGACAGAGGGGAGATATCCTCAGCACCGGTTGCCGACGAGATGCACTTTATGCAGGGAGCAGAATCACAACACGAGAGCCGAGCGCACGCACAGAAAGCAATCTCAGCCTGGAGCGAAGGAGCCAGCAAGAGGGCAGAGAAATGATCCCAGTTTTCTAAACGATGTGTATTTTAAAAAATCCACCGGTTGGTAAGTCAATCCTCTGGGTTCCAGATAGAAGACGAGTAGGGGGAAAAAACCACAGTGAGTGAGTCCCAGGTGCCGAGTAGAGAAGGAGTCCCTCGTCTGCGATCCTCCCTCTTCCTGCACTTGTAAAATGTGTTCCTTATTTTGTCCTTGGCTCTCTCACTCCTCTAAGCAGCCTGCCTCGTTCTCTTTCCCTCTGTCACACAGTTGCTCTCTCTCTCTCTCTCTCTCTCTCTCTTTCTCTCTCACTCTCGCCTGCGCTTTCTCTATCAGTCAGCCTCTCTCTCTCTTTCTTCTCCACACTGACAGGGCGGTAAAGGGGGCTCGTCCGAGGCTACAAGCAGAGCAGAGCGCCTCCTCCTTCTCCAGCCCAGCCGGTAGGAGGGTCTTTAGCAGATCTGTGTGAGAGAGGGATCCAGACACAGACCGGCGGGCTGCAGCGTTTCCACAACCTGGGAGAACGCAGGGGAGAGGAGTGGAAGCGAGAGGGGGGGAAGGCGTCAGGGCGAGCAGTCGATTCCCCCTACTGGCTGCACACGGAGCTACCGCCTGCAACAGACTCCTCAACACTTTACAGAGTCTCAAAACCAGAACAGTTGGATAAACCACTTCCACTGTTCAACCTTACTCCTCAACTGCAAGAATTGAAAGGCAATACGTCATTTCTGTATAATATATAATAACTGTTTTCTAATAACTGTTGCCTGTGTACAAATATCTTAGCATTTATCAGAATAGGTTTTATTACTAACTATGTTCACATAGAGGATGCTGCAGGCGTAGATGGTGCATACAAACACATAGAATGAAGAATACGCTTTTTTTTAAAGAAAGCTTCTTTTTTTTTAAATAGTGCTAATACAAAAACTATTTTAAAAACGATTGTAACAAATAGTAAACAAAGACAATGTTTACACGACAAACAAATATGTAAAAATACATCATATATCATCTGATTTGTACTTTTTTTTTAAAACAGAAAATGGTTTCAATGTTTTTTTGCCTCTTCTGCTGTTACCGTAAAATTGCAAAGTAAATCATATAACTTGATTTAGAACTTGTAAATATATTTTTCACTGTACTGCAGGCTCAACACAATGTGCAGTAGGACTTCACTTTTATGAGCTATAATCACAAACACTACATGGAAAGGCAGTAAACAACTATCTCTATGGCACTGGCTGAGGAAGTCAAAGGAAGCCACTTCCTGTGCAACATCAAAGGATCACAATGGATGAATCCTCCTTTGGGTGACCATAGCCGTGACCAAAAACATCTAAAAAATGTCCCATATGTGAGTGTTTGCCTGAACACAAGCAACCTCAGCTACACCAATACTTCAAAACATAGATCAAAAACATGCATGCAGAAACATAACGCTCAGAATGTCCCACTTTTTTCCACACACACACAAAGTATTTTGTGACGTAACAAGTTCAGGAGTCTTCCATTTAAAACCTCTTGATTTTAGTCCTGCAGGAAAAAGAAAGCCACAAACTAAACCAGGAAATTATTTGACTGAGATATAATGATGTTTTCACAATTTACACGTCTAAAACTAAACTCAGATTTGATGAGATTAGTTGTGTAATGTAACTGTTACTCGAGACCATTACTTAAAAACCCATGAGGCTCACATCTGCTTCTCAACAAATAATAACCGAATTACAGATTTTGAGTCCAACAATGAACTATCCAAAATGAATATTGTATGAATAAATTGATCAATTGCGAGAACTTTTGTCAATAAAAACGTGATTTCTTTGCAATACAGATTATTTTCAACTATGAGGAGTTTTTTTTAAGGCATATAATGTATTGAAAAATTACATATTCTTAGGAGAGCGATGTGTCCAAGTGCATGTGGACTGATGCAATCAATAGCAGAAGAAGAATGGGACCAAAGCAGGGAGGGGAAGGGCCGCCTTTTACAGATACAGAGAGGAAAATATAATTATTAGATAGGCCACTGCTATCTGTAGGAAAGAGATGAGGCTGATATCGATTGTGGATTACCAGATTAACAGCCTGTGGATCAACTAGACACATAAACTCTCAGCATCTGGCGGAAAGGCAGAAAGTAGAGAACAAAGACAGTAAGACAGAAAAGGCCAATGGAGAGAGTAATAGAAAGAGATATGGAGAGAAAATAAGATAAGACACAGTGGGAGACGCAAAATGGAGGAGGCAGAGAAGATTCATATGTCGTCGGACGTCGTCCCTGTATTTCATTGATAAGGCTCGTCCTTTTCTGTTCTCACTTAAGAATACTGAGATGAAAAGGAGTAGAACTGAGTAACATGTCAGATTAAAGTGATTATCAGCCAGATTGTGTCCATGTGTGACCAAAAGTCATGTTTCCGGCTGTAAATGATGCGTCGAACAATAGAGAGTGAGCACAAATATGGAGAAAAAAATGCAAATGAAGCGATCAAAGTAATACAATAAAAAGTGTGCTTGCAATGTACTGTGTGAATAAGTGTAATTATCACACAGATTTAAAAAAAAAAATGTTTATTTTTCTTTAGTGTGAGAATGTATTTGCATATCATGTAGTTACTTTAGTTAGTCTGCTGGAAAAAACATTTGCTATCTGTCGGTGTCACCTTTGGCTCTGGGAAATTGTAACAAGTCTGTTTACCATTTCATTTGATGTTCATGACAAGAAATACATGAAGTAATAGAGAATGACAATCAGTAGTTTGAGCTACAGTTTTAGAAATGTACTTGTTTACAGCCATATTCCAAACTCAAATCCATAAAAAAAAAAAATCCCAAATATTTTGAAATGTAGGATTATTAGCGACTGCTTTTGACTCGAAGATTTTTCTAACGTTTATTCTAATTAGTCAACAGAGAATGGAACACAGGGGAGTAACATTACACAGACATTGGTCGGCTGAAAACCATTAATATTCATTGACCCAACCATTAAGAATTAAGAGCCGGGAATTGAGACTTGACTCTTGAAATTAAAGAAGTTGACCTGTGGCCCTTACAGACAACACGAGAAACCACCCTGAGGGCCGGCTGAGGTGAACTGTCAGCCTCTACCCAAGAGTTGGCAAAGGTTACTTCTATTATTGAGGCAATTTCAAGCATTGTGACTGGAGAGCAATAATGAACGGTGCGTGTAAATAAATGTCGGCACCGTGTTTCATTCTGTGGAAGTAGACCTTGAAGATAAGATGTGTGTGCTTTGCTCTGACGGTGATGCAAGCGCTCTGGTTTGAATCAGTGAGATTGACGTCACACACAGGTGATTTCCAGCCAAATATTTCATGGAAACAGAGAGTGAGTATCTCTTTGTTTTTGTATCATTCCTTATGCAACATGATGTGCTTTAGAGTCATCTCCATGTGGTGGTTGGGGCATGCTAATCTAGAACAAAAATTGATAATTGTGTTCAATGTTTGTTTCAATTGTTCAACAAAATATAAAGACTTGTTGAAGGAGAAGATCAGAAAGTAGATTTGAAGTGATTTCCCTACAGATTTGTATTTAACCTTATTTGTACACAGGGCATTGCCACCCAGAACAGCATATTTTGTGCTGGATTATTTCAAAATGCATTCAATGTTTTTCTTCCCAGTGAGAACTGATCTCATTTACTAGCTGATTTGTCAAGATGGAACTCAAACTGTGCCTCTCTGCTGTTTTAAATATTTAAAATCTTACACAAAGAAATATCTGGTAGTACTTTGCAGGCGAGGTCTTTCAAACATTTTTCGAAGAACAAAAAACCCAGCCATCTGTTTGGAGGTCTTTCTTTGATGCACTTTCTGTATTAAGATCATGGGTGAGTCATTTACAAGACTTTAAAATAGAAGAATAGTAAGACAGCCGAGTGTATCAGGCCCCTGAAGGTGTTGAGTAGATGCAATCCCTGTCCAAAGAGTAAGACAAGTCTAGAAAAGAAATCCAAAGCATGAGGTCAGACTATTTCAACAGAGATTGTCAAGTTGTTGTTTTTTAGCATTTAAAGAATGAGATCATTCAAATTCATACTCGGCAAACGGTAGAAGCCATATTTGTTTTTGTTAGATTTTTCAATTAAATTAGCATCCATGGAGATATTAGTGTCCTGAAGAGCTGCCCTTTTGTTCATCGACTGCTCTGACAACTGTTAAACTGCTAATGTCTTGAATCTCTATTTAAAAAGAGGGACATACTGTATTTGTAAGAAGAGGGATGAAGGCATGGTTTACATTTACTAACATATGAACTATAACTGAATCATGTCTTGTTTACTTACCACAAAAACAGAAGTAAAAAATGATCCCAGCCAAAATGAATTCCTAGAAAGCACACAACTACTTTGCCCTACTGCCCGACCCCTTCCCAAATGGGACTACTGGACTCCTTCAAGCCGGTGCAGAAACCATGAGGCTTTGCTTCCTGTGGTTAGGGTTAGGGTCATTCCTGTCACGGGTGTTTCCCAGAATGGACCATATGCATGGAATTTGAGGAAAGGCTGGCTCAGTGTCAAGGGAAGGGTGGGGGAGGAGGAGGAGGGATACAATAATGGAGGCAAGGGGGAGAGGAGGGAAGTGGATTTGAGGAACATCGGGGTCTGGTATTCCTGGAAAAGCCTTTGGCCTTTGGCAGTGGTTCTACTGGGAGATACCCAAGCACTATGAGATCATCTTACATGTTTTACGCAAACGGACTGATGTAGCTTGACTAACCAACGTCCCCCAGGGCATTTTACTCAAGTGAAAGATGAACTATCTTAACAGTCTAAGTATGATCTTAAGACTGTGTTTGTGTTTTTGATTAAAGCAGAGATGCTCTGATTAGAGTTTAAAATAATCTCAAAAAACACGACTGAATGTTGATGATCGCTCCAATCATGAACAGGCGGATAAACAGATGTTGTTTGAAGGCTGCTGTTCGTCATACGACAGAAGATTACTAAGTACAGATGATTAAGTTTGTATGAAACTGTAGTACCACTATAAAAAGTTTTTCCTTAAAACTAAATCGAATTTAGTTAAATGTGAAGGCATGCTAAGAGAAATGAATACCAGATTTGGGATCAAGTGTATAAAAAAGAAAGATAATTTAATAACTTCAAATATCGAGGGGTCGAAAGAAAACCACAAATGTTGGCAGATTTACTGAAATTGGAAAAAAAGAAGCGTAAACCACAGAAAGAAAAAAGCATGGCTAACCTCTGAAGTGGTTCTGAGCGCTGAATATGTTTTAATTTATCTTCATGCTGTTTCCTGAAGCTCCATGGTGCGACATAATTTGATTACTGTAGGTGATTTAAAACATCACATCAGAAATCAAGAAGCCAATTAGATTACAAC